GTTTGATGGTTAAGGTTATTTTTATTTACAGTGATATCTCAGTGCTTAGAGCCTGTAGGGTTCTAGGCCCTCTGTGTTCATCTCGCCCATCCCCTCATCTCTCAGAGAGGACCCTGGGCTCAGAGGGGATGGTGAGGGGGGTGGTTGTTCTAGGCCAGCCAGAGAGAAGATAGCAGGGCAGCGCTCTTATCTCCTGGTCATCCCATCTCAGAGTAGATGCTTGTCCCCCGCCCCCCGCCCCACTGCCGAAGACAGTGAGCCTCCTGAACAGAAGTGAGTCCTTCTATCCCTATCTCTATGCTGCATTTCTCTGAAGGTTCAGGCCTCTGGAAGGGGGCTTAGTTACCCAATTTGGGGGAGCCGCTGGACACACAGAGGCTTCCCACACTGTGGACACACCAGGTCCCAGAAGAATTCTGTGGCACATCTCAAGCCAAAGGATCCTCCAGCCCAGGGTGACCTCGCTGGCCTCATGGGGAGGGCCCTGGTAGATACTTGCTCACCCCAGGGTTTATGTAATGTCGTCTTTCCCAATCGTCCTCAAAGCCATGCTATGACATAAGCAAATGTACGCCTCTGTCTGCCCCAGTGGCTGGCGGGTATTTATCGAGCACTTGCTATGAGCTAGGCATTTGCACGCATTATCCACCAAATTACCCTCACTGTCCTCTTGAGACAGCACTTACCACTGCATTTTTTAAAAAATAGAGATACAAGATATGTATATTATCAACTTCACCATTTTAAAGTATATAATTCGGTGGGTTTTAGTATATTCAGAAGATTGTACAACCATCACCACTATTTAATTCAAAAACATTTCATCACCCCAAAAGAAACCCCATACCCATTAGCTGTCACTCCTTATCCTTAGATCTCTCCAGCCACTGGGGAGCACTCAGGTGCTTTCTGTCTCTATGAATTAACCTATTCTGGACATTTCATATAAATGGAATCATCCAGCAACCTTTTGTGACTGGTTTCTTTTACTTAGTATAAGGTTTTTGAGGCTCATCCACATTGTAGCATGTGTCTGTACTTCATTCCTTTTGTGGCTGAATAATATTCCATTGTATGGATATACCACAGTTTAAAACTCTGTTTTCTGCTGATGGACATTTGGATTGCTTCCACTTTGGGGCTATTGTGAATAAATGCTGCTATAAATAATTGTGTGCAAGTTCTTGTGTGAATGTATGCTTTCAAGTCTCTGGGGTGTGTATGTAGGCATGAAATAGTTCGGTGTATGACACCTCTTAATGTTTAACGGTTTGAGGTTCTGCCAGACAGCCTTCCGAAGCGGCTGCACCATTTTGCATTCCCACCAGCAGCCTGTGAGGGTTTTGGGTTTCTCCGTGTCCTCTCCAGTACTTGTTATTGTCTGTCTTTGATTGTGGCCACCTAGTGGATATGGAGAGGTGTCTCATTGCAGGTTTGATTTTGCATTTTCCTGATGGCTAACGATGATGAGCAGCTTTTTATGTATTTATTGGCCATTTGTCTGTCTGTTTTGAAGAAATACCTATTCATTTCTCCTTTGCCCATTTTAAAATTGGGTTGTCTCTTGATTGTTAAATTGTGGCACTGCAGTCCACAGGGGAAACCGTGGCTCAGAAAGGGGATGTGACTGGGCCAAGAACACTGAGCTCATAAGTAAATTGAGACCGGTAACTGGATGGATCTCCACCTCCCACCCTAACAGGTCAGAGATCACTGTCTCTCTTCCCAGATGAATGGCCTCCTGCCTTCCATTTTGACCCACTCACAAAGGTCACCCCAGGTCTTTTTCTTGCATTTAAAGCAGTAGAGCCCCACAGCCGGAGGGTGGGCCGGAAAGACATGGAAACAGCAGTTCTAAGGAACAAAGCTGGTCCTCTTTCCCCCTCCAAATCACGCGGACCTAGCTGACGTGGCCCGGGAAGAGGGGAGAGCCCGGGCCTGTGGTCGGGGAGCCTATTTATACTGGCTGGGCCATGTTGCAAGCTTTTCCTGCTGGCGAGAGGGACGTCACTGGGTGCTGACCTCACCAGAAACGCTGACGCATCTTCCCCTCATGCTTTGCTCTGTTGACCAGCCGGGTCTCCTCACCTTGGGGCCACTCCCTGTCCTCCTACACATCACTGTCCCCTCCCACCGAGCTCTGGACACTCCCCCATCGTCCCCACTCCCTGCAGCCCTCCAGCCATGCCCTGCACTTGCGAGCTGTTATAGGCTGAATTTTATCCCTTAAGTTTATATGTTAAAGACCTAACCCCACTGTACCTCAGAATGTGGCTGTATTTGGAGATAGGACCTTCAAAGAGGTAAGGTATAATGAGGTCATTGTGGGAGGGTGGGGCTAATACAATATGACCGGTGTCCGTATAAGAAGAGGAGATTAGGATAGACAGAGGGCCAACCATGTGAGGAGATGAGAAGGCAGCCATCTACAAGTCAAGGAGAGAGGCTGCCAGATGAAATCCACCCTGCTGACACCTGGGTCTCAAGACTTAGGACGGCGCCAACATGCCTTCCTATTGTTTATGTCCTGCCATCTGTGCTTCTTTGTTACAGCAGTCCGCGCAAACTAATATAGAAGCCCCCTTTGCCTTTGGTGGCCTTTGTCCCTGGGGCCTGCACACTGAACCTCGGTTAGCTACGTGCTCAGAGCGTCGTCTTTTAGACTTGACAGCCCTGGTTTGAATGCCCCCTCCTCTTTTTTCTTTTTTTTTTTTTTAAGTTTATTTGTTTATTTTTTTAGAGAGAGAGAGAGGGAGAGCACACGTGAGCAAGTTGAGGGGCAGAGAGAGAGAGAGAGAATCCGAAGCCAACTCAGCTGTCAGTGAGAGCCTGAGGCAGGGCTCGAGCCCACAAACTGCGGGATCATGACCTGAACCAAAGTTGGACGCTTAACTGACTGAGCCACCCAGGTGCTGCTGAATGTCGCCTCCTTTTAACTATTCCCACACAGGGTGACACGGGGACGGGAAAGTAAAGGCATGTAGCTCTCCCCCGAGTGTGGAGGTTGGTCCGCAGTAGCTGAGAGGGGCAAGAGGCTCTCCTGCTGGATGTGGCTCTCTTGCTTGGAGCCAGGCCCCGAGCTTCTCAGTTTCCTCATTAAAAGGAGCCAAAGCATCCCTGCGTGGGTGCTCTCCCTCTCAGGGCTGTTGCAAGATGAGATCAGGGATGTGAAATGAAGAAGGATCCCAGCTTGGCTTGGGCCCCAGGAAATAGTCTTGCGGGGGTGGGCACAGAGATGAGGAATTTAGCAGAAGCAACGTTCTCAGGAGGAGAATCCAGAACTGGCCTTTGGGGGTGGCACTGGTGGGTGTGGTAAGCACCATGCTGGGGTGCCAGGGAGTGGGTGGGGGGTGACGAACAGCCTCCTGGGCATGGAGGTGTGTCTGGTTTTACCCACTACTGGATCCTTAGCACTTGGGAATGGCTGGCTCAGAGAAGGGCCAAATAAAAGTTTTTTGAATGGGTAAATGAGTGATGTTAAGTGTATATACAGAGGAGAGAACAGGTAGGAATAGCCTTGGTGGTCATGATGGGTGCTGGGGACATGGATGGACAGGAGGGTGTCCGACCCTCTTCCTTCCTGGCCACCTCAGCTCTCCTTGTTCAGGCTCCACGGGCCCAATGCTCTCCCCAGCTGGAGCAGCCCAGGCCTCCCTGGCAGATTCCAGAGGCCCCACCCTGGTTCCCAGCCTTCCGAGGCCCCCCTGCCCACCGGGCTCCTGAGGGTGCAGGCCACAGACCCCCTTCCGGGCCTGGTAGATATGCTGCGGGTGCCAGGCATGACCTGCAGGCCTGAGCCAGCATTTCCGCCCCCTTGTCTGCCCTAGCCCAGGCCTCCTTCACCCTAGGCAAAGTAACAGGTAGACTAGAGAGGCGTGGTCTCCAGGGTTCCTTCACTCTGACGTCCAGAGGTCTTCGAGAAGCTGAGGACCAACCCACAATCACTATCTTTCAGAGAAAGTGAAACCTGGTCCCCAACCGTCACCACGGCGACTCCCCCACCCTGGCTTCCCCTCTGAGCTCACAGCTTCCCCATCTCCTCCGCCCCCCACACCATCCCTCAACAGCTAGTACTTGGAATTAGACTTTCAGCTTTCTTTTTTCCTTCAAAGGACTTTTGCCTTTTATGTCCATGACAGCAGCAGCTCTGTGAGCCTGAGCCAGGAAATACTGTTTGAACCCTCCTTTTACAGGTGGGGCCTCTGAGGCCCAGAGAGGTTAAATGACTTGCCTCTGGTCACACAGTATGTCAGCTCGCTTGAGCCCTAACCTCCTGTTTCTCTTGCTTTAAGCACCTGTTTTCCGCCAGAAGACCCTGTCTGTAAAGAAAGGGCCTAGGTGTGGGCAATGGGCCTGGGATAAAGAAGGTTTGTTGCAAGGGGTTTGCATGATGGGAGAAAGGAGATGGCTGGGAGCCCCACTGGAGGATGCAGGTCCTGGGGCCAGAACCACAATCTCGGGGCTGCCAGCCTGGGTCTGGCTCTGTGCCCAGAGCCCGGTGGTTTCCGCTCACAGATGTCCCAACAGCCCCAGCAGGAGGGCGGGAAGGGCACTCAAGAAGGAAGATGTCTCGCTCCCCTCAGTCCCAAACCACAGTGGCTGCTGAGGCTGATGGCTCCTGGGCCGAGCCTGGCCTGCGGGCCCTCTGAGGCCCCAGTTGGCACACTCTCCCCTCTATCCTGGGCACAGCTCCCTGCACATGGCTCGGACCCCCATGTTCCCTACTCACCCCAGGAAGGCTGGGGCTGCGGTTTGCATCATCCTTGGGCGTGGGGCTGACCTCGAAGAACGAATTCGAAGAAAACAGGAGGAGGAGCAGGCATGCCACCGCACCCAGCGCCCATTGGCCGCCCGTGGAAACTTTGGTTTTTGGGGTCATGTTCCCAGAAGGCCTGCCCCTCCCCCCCCTCCGCTCCCCACCCACCTCACGAGGTGTTGGCCAATCGCCCTGGCGGGCATAAAGTGGCTGCTAGCCCGCAGGGCTCCCAGCCAGGAGGTGTCACCCCCAGCAGGCGCCGGCCGGAGCTCGGGCACCCAGCATGCGGGCACAGCTTATGCGGAGGACGCTGCTCAGTAAGTACTTCCTTCCTCTCCACCAGTACCCACTTGCTGTGCCCCTGGGCACCAGCGGGGAGCAGAGGCACCTTCTGTCCTTTGGGAGCTGGAAAGGCTGGGCACCAGAAGGATGCTGAGAAGGGGGGAGAACTGGGAGGTCAGGCAAAGCAAGTGGTCCACTGAGAACACAGCATCTTTACAAGGTAGAGAAGGACTATCCCCAGAAGGCTTCTAAAGGGGAGGTGATGTAGAGACAGCTCTGGGAACAAGAGAGTGAGGGAAGGGGATAGATTGAGGGGAGAAGCCAGAGAAGCAGAGGGGAGGTGAGATACATGCTGGATAGAGTAGGAAGCTGCAGAAGCCAAGAGGAAAACAGTGTGATGTCTGGAGGGGTGGTGAGGCCTCCTTCTTGCCCTGATTTGCAGGGTCTGGAATGGATACACACAGCCAGCCAGGCCCAGGGACCCTGGAACCCACACAATCACACAGCACACATAGCCACACCCACAGGATGACGTGCACACAGAGCCGTGTGATGTCATTCAGAGCCCTCAATCTCACTAACTTGGGAACCCCCACATGCAGCCTGGGCCCCCACGGTGGACAGGGCACAACGTTTGTTTGTGGCCAGCTCCTTCCTTTCACCTCACACAGACCTGGACACACGCCCATGAAGACACCCTAGTCCCACGTGCATGTGGTGCTCACACGGACTCCCCTGCCCAAGCCCAGCAGCAGATACCTGAGGAGGTGGCGAGGAGTGCCCTGTGGTCGCTGTGCCTGGGTGGCCAGCCCCTCATCCTTCCCCAGGAGCTGAACGGTTCTTAGGAAGGGAACATGGTGTCACTGCCTTCCGGGGCCATTGCGCCACAGGCCCCTTCCGACCACATGGCTGCCGGTGCCTGGGGGGTGGGTGTGGGGAGGTTGGCCGGCAGTAAGTATGCTCTTCCCACCCCGAACATTCTGGCTCACGGCGTATCTGGTGGGCCTGACAGATGTGGGACATGAAGGGAGAGAAGAGGAAGGTGCAAGAGGTTGAGGACAATGCTGGCCTTGTGTGACCTGGGTGAGCCCTTCTCCTTCAGTGCCTTGATTTTCCTGTCAGTAAAATGGGGGCTCTCTTGTTTGTACAGACATAGCTCAGGGCACCAGGCTGCTGCCAGGCTAAGCCCACCTGCAAGGAGGGCCAGGCTCTGTTACGGGGGGACCCGGAGGTCTTGCAGGCAGCAGCCCCACCTGGGCTGCTGTGTGTCAGATCCTGGGGTTGGGAAGATTGGCAAGTGCAGGAGGTCCAACTGGGCCCCAAAACCTCCTCTCAAAGGCCTGCATGGTGAAGTGCAGCCCTGTTTTGGATGCTGGGCAGTGCCTCATGGGGGAGGTGGTGGTGGCCCCAGCAGGTGCTCCTTCCTGTGCACACACGGTGCCCAGCCCCACCCATGACAGCACGAAGCCTGAGACGATGGGCTGTGCCCTCTAAGGCCCTCTTAGGTTCCCTCCCCTCTGAAAGCCACCCGCCTCCCCAAGTCAGGTGACACCCCCCTTCTCTGCCCCAGGTCTGGTCCTTGGACTCCTGTTCCTGAGTACGCCGGCCATGGGCAGCTGTTTGGACAACTACCAAGAGCTCCTTGGGCAGCTCCAGAAGCTGGCGGACTTCATGCAGCACACCAGCATGCTCCTGGACCCCTATGTGAGCGCCTGGCCCCTGGTGGCATCTGAGTTTCAGAGAATAGTAGTCCTAGGGCAGCAGTGAGCCCAGAGAAGATGAGACCCGACTCCCATTCACCCAACCCCTACTCGATATGGGGCAGGTGGGGAAACCAAGTCCCTGTGTTATTCCGGGGCCACATCGAACACTCCAGGCCTTGGAGTGTTCCACTCCTTGGCACTTCACTCCTCTGAAATGCCAAGGAGACATTACAGCTTTCCCAGCTCAGTGGGCCGGAGTGAAAACCTCAACTCCATTGTATACCTACCCATGTGCCCTGCTCTAGGCCTCAGAGATGTAACAGTGAACAAAACAGAGTCCCGTCCTCCTAAAAAAGCTCAAGGTTACCCACCCACCCCCACTCAAACTCTGCACACCACAATCACCACCTGTGCAGTCACCTCAACCCGCCAGCCCCCCAACATCCTTCTGTCCTGTCTGCAGTGATGGGAGAGTCCTTGCTCCTCCTTGGCCTCAGTTTCTGATCTGTACGATGGGAGGATTGGATGGGATACATGAGGTTGAGCATTTCAAGGCTGACCAGAGCAGAATTGTGTGTGTGTGTGTGTGTGTGTGTGTGTGTGTGTGTGTGGTGGGGGCTCTAGCACTCACCCTCTGATTCTCCTTTCCCTCCAGATCAGCATCCAAGGCCTGGACAAGGATGGTCTGAAGAAGCACTGTCGGGAGCGCCCCGGGGTCTTCCCCAGCAAAGATGCCCTGCAGCGGCTCAGCAGGCAGGAATTTCTGCAGATCCTTAACACCACACTGGGCCATGTTCTGCACAGACTGAGAACTTTACAGAAGGACATCCCCAAAGCCCAGGACTTAGAGAAGCTAAATATAGCAAAGTTAAACATTCGCGGGTTCAAGAACAATATCCACTGCATGGCCCAGCTGCTTCCAGGCTCCTTGGAGAAGACTGAGCCCACTCCGACAGGCCCAGGGGCTTCTCCGTCACCCACCCCCATCTCAGACGCCTTTCAGCGCAGGCTGGAGGGCTGCAGGTTCCTGCATGGCTACCACCGCTTCATGCACTCAGTGGGTCAGGTATTCCGAGAGTGGGGGCAGAGCCCGAGTCGGAGCCGGAGACACAGCCCCCGCCGGGGCCTGCGGAAGGGGAAGCACAGGACGCATCTCTCCAGCAGGAACAAAAGACTCATGCCCAGAGAGTGGTTGCCCCGGTAGCCTTAGGGGTAACCCTGACAGATAAAGGACTCACAGGTATTCTGTAGGATGGCCCATCCCCGCCGGCCTCCAAACCTGCTCTCCTCTGTTCCCCACCCCCTCAGAAGCGCACTTTAAGGGGTGGGAGCCAAGCAGGCCCCTCTACCTCCTTCAGGCGGGGAGGGTAGGGTTAGACCATTTAACCCCCAGCCCTGAGTTCCCCAGTCTCGGTGGGATGGCCAGGTCAGGCCACGCGGGGCTAACTTTCCATTGATTCAGGGGTCTGATGACACAGGCTGACTCATGGCCAGACTGACTGCCCCCCCTGCTCTGCTCCCCAGAGGCCTGTCGGCCCTTCCCTCTCATGACTTGCAGGGCTGTTGACCCCAGACTTCCTCCTTTCCATGGAGGCATGGTTCCGAGGGGGAGGTCAGGGCCTGAGCTGGCCTCTTATGCCTCATTGACAGTCTCAGGCCAGACACCTGGACATCTGGGTGACCTCATTTTAGGCAGCTGTGACACAGGCAGAGTGTCCTAGAAGGAGTGCTGATCGGGGTAGGGTGTCTAAAAGTGGGGCTCAAGGGCCAGCTCAACCCCTCTCACTGTGTAGCCTCGGGAAGACCACCTTACCTCTCTGGACTTCAGTTTTCTTTTTGTGATTCAAGAGAGTTGGGACCGTGTAAAGCCCTCTCTGCTTGCCAGTAGCTGGGATTCTATGGCATACAGTGGATATCAAATGCAGTGCAAATGGACATGGAGTAAAGACCTAGTGTCTGGAAGTACCCAGTCTTGGGTCCTGGCTGCTGGCTCCTCCCCCTGGTGGTGCATCATGAAATTTTCTCATGCTGAAGCAAGGGAGTCCCAGAAGCTGCTGGGCCAATTCTTTGCAGGAATATGATTAATTTATCGATTTTTATCAGTTTTTATCTGTTTCCTATTTATAAGGCTTATTTATGATACGTATTTAATGTTAATATTGTGCCAACATATATTTAAAACTTGCCTGGTTTCTAAAGTCCCTGTGTCTCTCTGTTGCCTTGTGGGAAAGAATTTGAGGGAATCTAGCCTCTTGGAGGAAGGGGGGGGGGCCCTGACCGTGGGGGTGTCTCAAACAGGGCATTTATTGTGTCTGAATGTGACTCCCTTGAGATGCTAGGGACTAGAGGGTTTGGGAGCAAGAGAGGAGGGAGGAAAGCTGGAATGTGTGGTCCCCTGTAGGTGTGTGACTGGGGGGTATGTGTGCTTATGCGTGTTACGTGAAATAGACAAGATAGTAACAGACCCTGCCTCAGACATGGCCTGTGACCTGCTGTGCGCTTGAACCTGTTTCTTGAAGGGCTCCTGGCAGGACTCTCTGCAATAGATAAGATCCACTTTGCAGATAAGAAGACTGAGTCTCAGGGAGACTGAGTTACCTGCCCATGTCCTCAGAACACGTTTTCTGGGAGGGCGGACACATGCTGAATTCAGGTCTGTTAGATGCCAGAGCATCTTCTGTTACTCTTCAACCTCTGTAACTTGGCCAGCAATGTCATGAGTCCCTAAGGGCACAGAGCTCCCAGGCTAGGGGGCAGACAGGCAACAGACATGCAGAAGAACCAACTCAGAATATTGGGCTATGAGCTCTGCATAACGAAATCGGGTGATGTAATAGAATGAGAACCTCAGGCAACAGGCATGGCCCTGGGAGAGGTGAAGCCTCTCCATCCACTCTGAAATCTGAATGGCACAGGAGAGGGGGTGGGGCCCCCAGGTGGCAGAAACAGCTAGGGCAAAGGCTCCAAGCATTCCAGGATCAGCATATAGTGAGCCAGGGGCGTCACTGATTTATATCAAAAAGGCCCGGAGAAGGGAAGCATCTTGCTCAAGATCACAGAGGGAACTCCAGCACAGAACTCCGGACCCTGACTCCCAACCAATAGTCTTCTCGGCAATGCCCAATGTGTTCCAGGTGACCTACCAAGTCCCCAGTAAGAGCTTTCCACCGTCTCCCACTGGGCTCTCCCTTGCTCTTGAGGATCTGCCACACAGGCCACCTTTTGGCTCTCGATATGCCCAGGGCTCTGTCCTACCATGAGGCCTCTGCTTATGCTGTTCCCTCTGTCTGGAACACCGTTCCCTGTCATTTTGCTCAGTGCATCTTCAGCTATTCTTCCCTACCACCCATGGTCTGGGTCCAGCAACTTGGTTATTTGTCCTCATAAAACTGTCCTCTTGGGAGGCTCTTGCCTGCTGTGGTGCTTTACCATCTGCCTCCCACACTAGCCTAGAGCTGCCAAGAATGTGGAGACAGCAGCTGCTTCCCTTTGCTCCGCCTCAGCACCCAGCACAGGGCCTGCACTCAGTAGGAGCTCAGCGAGCAGCATGCCAGAGAGGCTGGCTTGGGTGGTACCATCCCGGTGCCACCAACGGCAGGGGGCCAGGCCTCTCTCTTTTCTGCCCTGCCCCGGCATAGGGGAGGGGGGGCTTTCCTCAGGCTGAGTTGCTGGGAAGCTGTGGGTGGGAGGTGGCAGACACCAAAAGCCAGGCACGCTCAGGTTCTCGGAGCAGAAGGGGAGCTGGCGCTGTGGCAGGCGTGCGGTTGCCCACGGAGTGAGCAGAGGTTGGTCTGTGGAGGAAGAGCTGGGAAGCCCAGGGTGGCTGCCCCCTACCCCTGCCTGGGCCCCTTGCCAACCCCTTACTCTGTGGATAAGCCTAAGGAGAGGTGTCTGACTTTGAGCTGGAACAGCACCCACTCCATAGGAAGCAGATCAGGGAGCTCCAGAATCTGGGGAGGGAGTTTCAGGGGTCCCACCTTTGAGGATTTGTCATCTCTATGTCATACCCTGATGAGACCACAGCTGCAGGTGCCCCCAAACTGCCATCTCCAGTCTGGTGCTCTCCCAAGCCTACAGACTCGACTTCTAGGAACCTCTGCCGGGAGCCCTGTGCCAAAGGCCTCAGGGCCAAAGTCACCTCCACCCCACACCTGATTTCTGCTTCCTATTTGCCCCCACAGAGGTTCCAGAGCCCCAGTCCTCACCGTCACCTCTCTCAGCTTCTCCCCTGTCCGTTGATCACAAGGTCCCTCGATCTCTCCCACATCCCATCTCTGGCACATGCCTCCTGCTCTCCCGACAGCCAGCCAGGTCCTGGCTCCCTGGACAGGGTCAAAAATGTCACTGCCACCATATCTTCTGCTCCCAAACCTTCAGAGACTCCTTCCTGTCCTACTGCTGTGGTACCAATTCCAAACCCCTCATCTTAACATGCCAGGCCCCTGCTCTCATGCCAGGCCAGCTTTGCCCGCTCATGTCTGTGTTCGAGCCATGCTTTGCTGGCTCCCTAACTCATATAGGCATCCTGACCTCCCTGAAGCCTGGACTTCCCCCCTCCATTCCCAGCCTCAGCCTCCTACCCTTCTGCCCTGAGCCCCAGTTCGAATTCCCCCTCCTCCTTGATTTCCCCATCCAGAAGGGTTTATGGGGCTTCCCTGGGGGCCACAGGTGGCCTACAGAGAGCCTGCAGGGTGACATTTCTAGAGTCTGCATCTCAAGTCAGAATAAGCTTTCTCTGATGGTGAGACTGGGGTTCCCACAATCATTGGTGTGACAGGCAGTGGGGCGGGGGCCCAAATAATGCTTTTGTGCCACAGAAGGAGCTGATCCTATACAAGGCACATTTTCCTGGAGTGGCAATACCCTGTGGGCCCACAGTGTATGCTTCCTCTCCAGTGGTTATGTGAAGGGACAAAGGCTCAGGAAGATAAAGGGGTCCTGGCCTTGTTGCAGGCATCAGCTTGAAGCCAGATTTTCTTCTTCTTTTTCAAGTTTTTCAAAGTGACAGACCTTCAGTCAACTACATGTAACACACAGGATGGAAAGTTCCCCAGGACAGGGGTCCCAGAGGGCAGGGACACTGCTGGAAAAAGGTGGGGATGGGGTGCACTTACTACCTATCCACAAAACAAACACAGCTTGCAAACGGCAGAGCTGGGTTTTTCGCCTCCATGGCCTTCACTGTCCACCACTATTAATGCGATTTTTTTCCTCCTCTTTCTCGAAGGATGAGAAAAGACTTGAGAGTTAAGTAAAATGAGTTCAACCCCCAGCCACCCTGCCTTCAAAGCCATGTGACCTCCCGGGTTGAGCCTCAGCTTTCCCCTTTGTACAATGGGCTGAACTGGCCCACCGCCCTGGCTGTGACAGATTTCCCAGGAGACCACACAAACACTGCACTATTTCGGCATTATCGTAAGCGGTTACTGAGCAGGTGCACAAGCAACGTTCTCTGTATTTTCTCTCTCTCATTTTCCCTTTTTCCTTATTGCTCTCTTCACGGCTTTTCTCTCTGTGCCCCTGTCCCCCTGCACCCCCTACCCTCCACACCAGGCCTGGGACCCAGAGTGCACACAGACCACCTTTTCCATGCTGAGGCAAGGCTCACAGTCCATGGTCAGCGTTGGAGAGGCCTTCCACTTGGCCAGCCCCACTCCCTGCTTCCTGGGGCGGCCCCAAGGGCTGGGCTCTGCTCCCTGGCTCGGGGAGGGGCGAAGGTCTCCCAGGGAGGTGGGTTGGGCAGGTGGGGCCCTGGAGCCTGTGGAGGAGGGCCAACCAGACGGGCCAGGTGACTCCGGGGTTCTGAGGTGGGTGTCCGGAAAGCGTGTGGTGGCTTGGGGGGGGGCACTGTGTCCAGGGGGACAGCTGCGGCCCTGTGACTCTTCTGGGGACAGGGACAAGGGGCATGGCCCTGGTGCACACGGCTTGTGGCAGGTCTGAGTCAAAACACCTAAGGCCGACCCCGGCCGGTCATGCGGAGGGCTGCTCAGTCATCGCCTTATGCTGGCCTGGGTCACCCAGGCAGGCTGGGTGCGGCCCAGTCAGTTGTGACTCAGGTCCCAGCGGCCTTGCCACGCAGCACTGGGTAGGGGCATTGGGCACAGGGTCGCCCCCTCCCCAGCCCCAGCCGCAGCCCCACTTTTCCCCCTTGGCCACCCTGAAGATCCTGCCCTTGTTAGGCACAGTCTGGCCAGGGGCCTGGGGTTCTCTGCCCCTGTTGCACCCAGCCCTTCAGCCAGGGGGTGGGGTGGAAGTGGGGGGAGCCTCAGGGCCACACGGCACTTGACGGGAAGTCAAGTGGGGTGCAGTGTGAGGAGCTGTCTCCAGAGAAGATTCAGCAAGAGAGGGAAGCAGAGGAGGCCTGGCCCTGAAGTCGATGGTGTCCCATTGAAGACCTGGAAAACACCTGTGAGACTCCAGAGGGTCCTGCGCCAGAACAGACCACGGTAGGCTTCCCTCACAGTGCAGGGCTGGGGCGGGGGGGGTGGGGGGGGGGGCGGGGGGGTGGTTAGATGCCAGCCCCCAAATCTATCCTCAGCACCAGCAAATCCTCCAGTGTTTGGGGGGGGGGGGTACCTGGTGGCCTGCACAGTTCTCCGAGCCTCAGTCTTCCCAGCTGTGTAACAGGCGTGGGAAGACATTCCCTGCCCATCTCACCAAAGATGTTGAGGTAAAGTGGATAGACTGGATGCTAGATTCGAAAGTGTTATGGGTCACTAAAGGTTAAAGATCACGGAAGAGTGGAGGAGAGAGAACTGGATGGGGAGGCCAGAATCCTGGTTTTATGTGATCCCAGAGGGTCACCTCTCTTCAGGGTATTGATTCCTGGATTCCCAAGGGACCCTCAAGTTCCCTTTACCCCAAAGAAGTAGAGGGTTCTGAGGCCATGGCAGCCTGGTTTTTCCTCAGATGGAGATGTGGCAGGCAGAGGGTCCCTGTCTCTTTAGAAGGGGCTGTGGTGGGTCATGGGGTGGACCCTGCCTGCCTATGCGTTGGGGAGAAGGGCAAAGCGAAGTCCCTCACTGGAGGCTCTGGGGTGTGTGGTCAGTCAAGGTCACGGCTCCTACACTTTTGACCTTGTCAAGCACAGGGCTCGACCACTCTGCTTTGTTCACTCTGTAAGATGGGCCTAATTGTGGAAGCACCAGCTTGGTGAGGAAAAAGGAAAAACACAACTGAAGTCTGTGCAGAGCTTTGTACCAGAGGAGAGGGCACCTTGGCACAAATAACCTGAGAAGGGGCTGGACCCCAATCTTGCCATCAGCAGTTCCTGACTGTGGAGAAGCTTCCGGGATGGCGGGGACATTGTCCCCAGAGCCTGTCCTACGTGAACTAGGTGGTTCTGGGGCCCGAGGTGGGTGGGAAGGGGCGGTGGTGTCCCCAACTCCCTCCTTCCAGATCTCCAGCTGGATCCAGGCACTCCGCCCCACCCCAGCCCACTGAGTGTGGTCATTGGCGCCCCCTTGCGGCCGGTACTCGGGGCTCGCCCCTTCTCTTCCCCACGTAGGTGCTGGGCCAGGCCAAGGTTCGCCCAGGACCCATACGCGTGTGTCCTCTTCCCCGGTCTTGGCCAAGGGCCTCTGCTTACCCTCCATTCGGTGCCTCAGGCATCCCCGCCCACTTCCTCAATCCCCCCTCCCAATTACCGCCCTGCCCAGCCCTCGGGGAGGCACCGGCGCGAGAAACGCCATCCTGGGGCTTGGTGGTGCTGTGGCCAAGGCGGCTACTGCTGACTGGGCAGTGGGGGGCGCTGCAGCCCGCGGCTTGGAGCGGACCTAAGTGGCTGGGCGGAGGAGAACGCAGGGCTCCGAGCCAGGGACCTAGCTCTCAACCTTGCCGGGCCCAGCTTTCCAGGGCACCTGGAAGACTTTCTCTGTCCTCCACCACCAGACCCCAAAGTCCACATCTTGAAAAGCCGTTTCTGGATCCTTTGAGACTGATGGCCTTCTCTAGAACTGTTTTACAGCTGAGGAAGCTGAGACTCCAAGAAGCTTCCTTCTGGAATTCTCACAACCGAAGGGGACTAAAACTCAGGGTTCCCAGCTCTGAGAGTCCAAGTGAGGCAAACCACACACATGCTGTTGGGGGATGTGCCACTAATTTGCTATGTGGCCTGTGGCCTTGGAAGAGTGACTTCCCTTCTCTGGGTCCCACCTGTGGAATTTTAACAGCTAGGTTAGTATCTATAACTTAGGCCCACCTTCCAGAGGGTGTTGCTACCCTCACGGGTTGACGATGTTCCATCCCATTTTGTAGATGTTGGAGGTCTGAGAGATGACGGCCCCTGTCTGAGGGCCACAGCTCTTAAGTGTCAGAGCTATGACTGGACTGAGCCCACCTAGTTCTCCCCCACCCCTCAGTCTCATCCTCCCAAACTTTTCCCTTTACAAGTGGGGACACCGAGGCCAAGAGAGGCCATGATGGTCTCTAAGTTCCCTCCTCCTCCTCAGACCTCTTGGGAGAAATGGGCTTTCAGAAGAGAGTCTAAGGATGGGGAACTATAGGCCACCATCCTCCTTCTGTGAGGGTTCCCTGCTGGCCACCTGCTGGCCAGAGTGCAAGTGGAAGCTCCTGGCTGCGGAGGGGCTGGCAGGGATACTGGCTCTCCCAACTGCCCACTCTGATCCCGGGGCAGGCCTGGTCCCACCCAGAAAGGGAGGAAACGGAAACAGGGTCCTGGGGTGGGGCCGGGGTGGAAGGGGCCCTGCTGGGCAGGAGATCAGAGCAGGATTGTGTCATGGAGTCCTGTGGCTGATAAGCAGCTGAGTGACCGGCCCAAGCAGAAGGAGGGGCTCCCCCGAGACGACACATCCCAGGGACCCCCATGGCCCCTGTGGCCAGTGGGCCCTGCCCGGCTTGCGGGCCACACCTGCCATCCTGGGTCCTGTTGTGGGGAGGCTGTGGGGGTGTGGGGAAGAACCGGCTCCATCACACTCTGTGTGGCCTTGGTCAAACGTTCAGCTCGCTGAGCCTCAGTTTCCATGTCTGTGAAACAGGATTAAAGTGCCTCCTTTGGAGGTGCCAACTAGGACTGAAGTTAATAGGGGACTTTAGGAAGCACTTTGTAATGCTTGCTTTGGGGGACATTAATTGGGACAGAGGCCCATGGTGGCCTTTGGGGTTTGAAGTGTGCCAGCCATGTGCCCCAGAAAGGGTGGGAAGCAGGGCTGGAGTGGCCCACAGGTGCAGGGTTTGTGGGAGACAGGCATCATATCCAGATTGCCTGAGGGAGGCAGGGGGAGGCCTGGCCTTCTCCTTGCTCCCCAGGAGCTGCTCCCCTACCTGGTCCTGTCCCTCCCCTGACTTCAGGGAACTCATCTTTTCTTCTCTTCCCAGGGAAGAGAATGGTCCAACCCTGACTGGGCCTCGTTCCTTCCATCATCCCCACCCACTGGGAGGGGGCCACTCTGCTCTTTCCATCTTATCACCTCCCACCCACCGTCCTCAGAACATTTCCTCAGTCCCTGCAGGCACTGAGGGACAGTTTGGAGAGAGGGCCTGACTGCCTCCCTGACATCATCTCTGGGGTCGGGTTGGGTGGCTCCAGTGAGCTTGACTCGGGAGGGAGCCTGGGCCCCACCTCTGGCTGGCCAGTTTCAGGCTGAGTGGGTCCACAGGGCTGCTTCCTGTTCTGTTTATTGCCTCTGAGTTCAGGAAATCATTGAGTGAAACATCCTCCTCCCCCCACCCTCCCCCCCCACCCCCGGCCCCATGATTATTTAATAGGAGCCGAGCTGTGGTCTCTCTCTTTTGGAAAATCCAGTGGGAGAAGGAAGCTGTCAGCTCAACTCTGACATCAGCTTTGTCCCTGTGCCAAGAGTCAGGGTGGCCAGGGCAGGGGGGGCCTGGGGTGGGGTGGGGAGGAAACCAGCTGCTGGTGGCCCCCGTGACGTGAGGCTGCCACACGGTTCCCAGGGGCGGGAGCTGGAGGGTGAGGGGTAGGGATTTTGGAGACACACTCAGGACACACACACACACACACACACACACACACACACACGGTCATGCCTCCTCGCTTGTGACCAGAGACCCCCTGCCACGCACAGACTCACACAGACACAAGGTCAGATGCATACGTGTACAGGATTCATGCACACAGTCACTTACACATCCACACAGTTACACAGAGGACTCACAAGGTCAGCTGGAGATGTGCATGCTTCAGCTCTCTCCCACAAGCAAACAGACCAGCACAGGCACATGCGTGCACATTTATAGGGTCAGACATGGCTGAACACAGATGTGCAGACACACAAAGGCCCTTGCTACACTCATGTTTGAGTGCTCATTCAGACCCAGACAGACAGACCCATGGGATGCCCGGCAGGCACTCCCAGACACGGATTTAGCCTCTGGGTTGTAGGCTACCCTGCTCCAGCCACCGCCTTTGGTGAGGATGAAGGGCTCCTGTGGATGAGTGAGGAAAGGCCCATGACTGTCCTCACCCCACCCAGGTGGGGCAGGTTGGGGTGGGGAGCTGGGGGTCTGAGGCTACGGAAGGGAGTGGACAGTGGGAGGTTGGGGCCCAGGAGGGCCTTTGTCCCACACAAGGTGATGACAGGCCTCCACCCCACACCAGGAGCACCCGCCCCGCCCCACCCCGCCTGCAGCGCTTCCCGTCCATTCCTGAGCTGGAAGGGATGGCGGATGACATAGAAGTCATGAGTCCCATGCTGCCAACCGCTGAGCGACCTTGAGCAAGTCACTCCTCAGCCCCTCAGGGCCTGGCTTTCATCATCGATACCAGTGGCTTACAAACGTTGTTGACCGCGACCCACAGTTAGAAACACATTGCACCTTACAACCAGAAGATGATGCGCACACTGACACATACAGACAACGGGAAAAAAAGTTTTGTGGAACGGTGCTTGCCCTCGCTCCGGGCGATGCCCGATGATTTTGCCATTCCATTTCCGTTTTGAAAGTGCTGCGGCAAGCCCTCCAAATTGAATCCGTGGGCTGCTAAGAGGCCACTGAAACCTATAGCATGATAGAAAGTATTGCTCTCGACATGTTCCTGCTACAGTCTCGAGCTAGTTGCAGACTCAGGGAGAGCCCGGAGGAGGGCAAAGTGTTTACAGAGGGTATGCTGATGAATGAAGAGAGAGGTGAGCAACCCATTCTAAAGATGGAGATGCTGAGGGCAGACCCCGGAGTGGAACCAGACTTCCTGCAACAACATGGGCCTTGGAGGCAGCCTCTTGACCCTGCTGGTGATGGGATCAGGGCTCTGTGGGCTGCTGCTTCCCTTGCAACTTCTATCAGAATTGAAGAAAAAATGCAGTCACTCTGATTCACCTCCAGGGGGGTGATTCCTGACGCAGAACCAGTCGGGAAATGTCCGGATGATGATGGGGGCAGTTGGAAGCAGGCCAGGATGGCTTCGGGCCTGTGCTTGGCCCTGAGGGGTATAGGTGGTCCCTGCCAGAGATGTGATGGGGTGAGGGTGAGAAAGAGCAGACTATATGCCCAGAGCCTGGGCCTCAAGAGGCCTAACAACAGCTGGGCTCTCTAGAATGCTGAGATGGGAAGTATTACTTATTCCCTGCTGAGGTTCTGGAAAGCTGCCTGTCCCCCCAGGACCCACGCCATGCTCTGTGTACTGACCCAGGGGCCCTCTCTGGCCTAACTCTCTGACCCAAACCCCTGACTCAAGCCGGGGTTTGAGCCCCTCCTGTGACCACTCAGATCTCTGGTTAGAATGACCGTCACGTGTTAGGCACTTTATCTGTGTTTCCCCCTTAACATCCTCATGACAGCATTATAGGATTCCCTACTTCCAGAGGGAAAATCACGGCTCAGAGAAAGGAAGCCGGTTGCCCCAGGTCACACAGCTGGTAGGTGGTGTGGGCAGGATTTGAACCCAGGTTTGCCTGGCTCGAAGCCACACCTTTACCCATGGGCACCACCACCAGCGTAGTCCTGGCTGGCCCGAGCTTGACTTGCAAGACGGGGCCCTGGGCCACAGGAAAGTCCACAAGGGCATGTGGATGGTTTCGTGGTACTGCGGGCTGCCGGCTGGGGCCACAGGTGTAGCTACACTTTCACTTCTCAAGTGTTGAATAATGAGGTGCTTTTCCCTTTTTGGACAGGACACCCAACTTCCAGCGCTGTGCCAGGAATTCCTGAGCTGCTCCTGTCTACTCTGGCTGCCCCTCACTTGCCCTAGTCCTGGACCACAGCCTCTGACCCCCACCTTCCTCCCCGGGGCCCATCTGACTCCCCTGAGCTCATTTCCCAAGTGGGAACATCAAGGCACGGGGCTGGGCAAAGCTGGTGGCTAAGAGCAGCTGCTGGTTGGTTTTTCAGAGAACTGAGATCTTAGCTGGGCACAGGGGAGGGGATGGTGAAGGAAGGAGGGGGCTGGCCTGGGCAGTGGGGGTTGCCCGGAGCACTGTTTCTGGGTCACTGGTCTTGGGGAATTCCCCGATGCCCAGAGAGCTGCTTACCTGGTGAGTAACCGCTACTGGCTGCCCACACAGGATGCCTGACTGTGAGGGTACCTCCCAGCCACCCCCCTGCCGATGGCCACTGCCACACTGCCCTCTCCCCTGAGTGCCCTGAGGCCCAGGAAAGAGACAGACAGACAGGCAGGGGGCTGGCCCCCGCCCCCACATCCCCCCCTGGGGCTCCGCAGGGGGCGGCTGGTGATTCAAGCCCCTCTGAGCTGAGCTATGTCTCCTTCCTTCTCAGATGGGGCCTGGGGGTGAATCAGTTCCTGGGGGCGGTGAGCCCGGGGTCAGCTGCTGTCCTCAGCTCAGGCCTGGGGTGGGGGTGGTCAGGGGCCAGGAGGGGACAAGGGGGGAGTGAGCGGACTGCCATGCCATTCCCCCCCATGTAAGCTGTCTGATCTCCCCGGGGTGTCCCTCAAGGGTCTGTAAGGGTGTCCTGCCTCCATTATCCTCTCAGCTTTTCTCCCTCAGCCCTGGAGTGTGCCCACTTTCCTCATTTGTAAAATGGGGACAAAACCCTCTACCTTACGGGTGAGGTAAGGATCCTCACCTGGTAGGAATCAATGCTGACGTAGAGAGGGCTTGCTGGGTGCCCAGAACTATGCTGAGCCCTGACACCTCACGGCGAACCCACAGAGTAGGTACCATTATTCCCATTTTATTGATGGAGAAACTGAGGCCCCAGGGTGCTCACTTCTCCAAAGTCACCCAGCTCATAACTGGCAAAGCCAAACCTCCAACCCGGCTCTGACTGAGGCCAAAGTCCATGCTTCAAACCACGAAGCTCTACAATGTCTCTCCACGAGACATTTGGCACAGAGAGCTTTTGGAAATTGTGAAATGCATTTAAAAGCTACTTAGCATCTATTCTGGTGTAACCCTAAGCCAGATGCTGTCAAGAGTACAAATGAGTACCAGACCCCATCCAAGCCCTCGAAGAGCAAGGAATAAGACTTGTTTCCACTTGAAAGGAGAGCAGGCAGGATGAGGCAGACTCGAGCCGGTCTGGGCCGTGTGCAGGGGAGACATCCTGGAAGAAGTGGCCTATGTGTTCCTCATCAACCTTTGCTTTCATCAGAGTGGGAGGTGCTTCTGGTATCACCGTGGCCTGCAAGCCAGAGGCCTAGGTTCCAGACCCTGCTGTATTGTCCCTGCATGGCCCTGGGCAAGTGCCTTGACTTCTCCAAGCCTCAGTTTCCCCATCTGAAAAATAAAACACTTGTGACTTTCTAGGAGAGGCTTATGGATGGAGGGTAAGAATCAGCAGAAAAGGAGGCCTGGATGGCCACATGCAGCAGACTGTGTTGGACAGAAAGAGACCTGAGGGGCCCAGGGAAGGTCGACACATGGGCTTACTTCCTGGAGAGGAGATGAGCAAGTGGCTGGCACAGCCACCTGGAGACAGCACCCTGGGGCCCTGACCTGGCAGTGCCCTGCCCAGGCAGAGAAGGGTCCCATGTGGACCCTTCCTGTCCCCCTCACTCTGAGGCAGGTCAAATCCCCAGCAGGCCAGGGTGCAGGAGCAGGACAGGCTGGGGATGAAGTCACAGCTGGAAGGGGCTGAGCTGGGGCTGCCACTCCAGGGTGGGGCCTGGGGTCACGACCCTGGGAGCATGCAGCCAAGAAGGGAGGATGCCTTCCGTGAGGAAGCCGAGGGGAAAACACACACACACACACACACACACACACACACAGCGTAGAGAGGGAGGGAAGAAAACAAACTCCAGGAGACCAAAGCTGGCCTGGAGCGCGGTCTGGGCGGCCGATTCCTGGGGACCGAGGCCACGTTGCAGGCAGCTCACAGCCTGGCGGCTCCAAGACCCTGCCCAAGCTTCCCCCCAGAGGCCGGTGCAGGTGGTGCCTGGACATGGACAGGAAAGGGAGGCTGGGCCTGGGGTGCCAAGGGGCCCACAGCTCTTGGGGAGCATGGACCAAGTCAGGTACCGTGAGAGGGGAAACTGAGGCATGGGAAGGGGGCCGGTTGGGGAGGGAGTTAAATATCTTCTAGACTCTGCCCCCACTTCCTGTTTCCTGTGGGGTGGGGCTGAGATTACATGGTGATTGGGGGTGGATTGTCGGGCTGGCGTGGGACCTGGGGAGCCAGAAGACAGTACGAGGACCCGGAAGTCCACTCAGAAGGATGCAGGGAAGAGACAGGGGCAGGAGAGTGGCAGCACAGGGTCGCAGCCTCTAGGAAAATCAGGGCACCTAGTGAGAGTCTCAGGTAGGGGAACAAGGGGATCCATAGATGGGGCCACAGTGGGGCCTTGGTCAAATGGATTTGGGGTTCACATCAGAAGCACCAGGCTGAGTCAGGTGACAGGGGTCCAGGAGATGTGGCATTAGGACTGGAGGCTGATGCAGCGTTCATGTTGATGTGCTCTGTGTTCATGTCAGGCCTTCATGCGGGAGAGTAGAGGAGTGCTGTTGGGGTCATCCGAGCTAGGCTGGGGTAGGTGGGCCTCCTGGGGGCCTATGCCCACCCACAGTAGGTGCATGGGAGGAGCAAGTGCCAGGTGGGGTCTTCTATGGCCCTCCAAGGAAGAGACCAGGGGGAAGGTAGGGAAGAGGAAGGAGAGCCAGTCTGGACTCTACCAGCCTCCTTCCTGCTGGGAAGTGCCAGCTGGGATGGGCAGTTTTATCACCCCACATCCCAGGCCCTGCTGGGAGAGCATGAGGGAAGTGAGCCTGGAGAGGGCAGGGTGTGTGTGGGGGCAGGGGGACCGACCGCAGCAGGCACGAGGGCTCGTCCTGGCATGATGAGGGAGGAACGCGTGGCTGGGCAGGTCCGGGATGTGGCAAGAGGCAGGAGCTGGGGGCATGCATGGGGGATGGGTGAGGGGGTGAGTACGGGGTGCTAGGGGTCAGG